TTGGTAAGTGATGCAAGCGACGGATGGGTTGCAGGTGCACCACAGTCTGATTCAGATAGTCCTGATGACAATGTTGAAGGGAAATTCAGTGGGTAAAACTTTGGGTAGTGTACTTTGTATGGAAAAAATAAGCACGCCAGGGTTAGAAATTTGGACTACTGAGCAGTGGTGAGTGAGTTGACTTGGTCAGGGACCTGGAATTGGGACGATTGGGAGATTTGGCACAGGCATTGTTGGAGCAAGGCATGCGGATAGCTCTGGGAAGGAACATGAAGTGTATCCCACACGGCAGTATCTACCCCAGAGGATGCAGCAAACAGCCATGGACAGGATGACTTGGCCACGAGAACATAGACCAGCCTCTGTTCCTTGCTATCCCGTGGTGGGCATGGGCTTGTTAGTGGAGTAACCACAAGGCTGGGCAGAAGCTGTGCTAGTCCCGACCACACGATGCTCCCGTTCACCAGGACTGTCTCTTGCTGAGCATCCAACATTCCAGCGGAGAGCAAGTGCCAAGTTCCCAGTCGCACCAACTTTTGAGAAGTCATTTGAGGGCAAGTTGACAATGCTAACCCTCCTGCACCCTGAAAGGTTTGACTCGACTGATTGACACGTGTCCCAGGCCTGTCCTCTTCACAAGGCCTCAGCTCCGTTGTCCAAGGCTCCCAGAATGCTTGATCCACTGAAACAAGGCCTGCACGCAAGCTGCAGCAGTGGGTAACCAAGAAGCTGCCAGCCAGATAAAGCAGCAGAGTGGTCCGTGGACAGCACAGCTCGCAGGTGACACCCTGCAGAGAGAGAGCAGCGACCTTCAGGATGTGGTGTGCACTGCATCAGTCAGAGTGAACTTGTCTGGGAACCAAGAAGTGGATGTCATCAGTCTCAGTGACTCGTGCCTCTGGGTGCTACAGATTTAAAGTCCTTGGCTCCCAGACATAGACCCTTCCACCAAGGGCACAGGGAGGGTGCCATTCAGATTCACACTACAGCTGCCACCTGCTCATTCCAGTTCCCTGTGCTGAGGGACTGACAGACAAGGAACGTGAATTCCCATCCTGGGCATCAGGAGAAGGTGGAATAGGCAGAGAAGCACTCACGTGATGTGATCGGTCACCGCTGGTCCCCTTCCCAAATTTGATAGCAAATTCAGGGGCTGTGGCCACTGAAGGACGTGGTGACTAGAGACTCGCCTCTCAGGGATGGGGTTTGAGCAGATAAGCCATCTAGACCAGCAGAGGCGCTAAGTGGGGACGAGGAGACCTAGAGTGGACAGTAGAGGAGGAAGATGAGTGTAATTTGTAACCTTGGGACCAGCTACAGTGACAAGGTGGAGTTCCTCTCTTCAGTCTGCCTTTTGTAAGTTTCCCAGCTAAGAGGCCTACAAAATCCTCTAAGCTGCTCCAGGAGTGTGTGTAGCAAGTGTGAGCAGTGTAAGTGTGGACTAGTGAGCCCTGTGAGTGTCCAGATTTCCTGTTAGTACTAGATCTGGTACTCAGCTTCTGAGACAGCCCCTCCTGGCGAATGCCCTGGCTGCAAAGAGCTTCTTTGCCCGTGAGTCCACTCCTTCCCCAGAAGCAACCAATCTCATGACTGGTGTAGGGGCTCAGCTCCCTACACGCACCAGGGGACACCGCTGCTGGGCCAGGCCAAACCCAGAGCAGGACTTGAATGACTGCGTCCTAGCCAGGTTCTTCTTTGCATGGTCCTGCTTCTCACTGCCCAGTCAACTTTCGTTTTTTTAGATTTTTATTTGAGAGGTGGAGAGAGAGACAGAGACAGAGGCTTTCTGTCGATATGCCAGTTCACTCCAAATGCTCATGATGGCTGGGAGTGAGGAATTCCATCTCAGTCTCGCAGGTGGAGATCAGGGACCCAGCTACTCGGAGCCGTCTGCTGCTCCCAGGGTGCACCTTAGCAGGGAACTAAGTGGGAAGCAGAAAACCAGAACCCAGCCACTCCAGTGTGGGCTGTGGTTGTCCCTGGGGCTGTCTGAACTGCGCTGAAGACACGCCTCCAGTTGACTTGCTGAATGTAGACCTCCCTTTGATCCTGTACATGTGTGACATCTTCAGGCGTATAAATGGGAAATTTGGTCGTCGTCTTAGAAAATGAAGTTATCTTTTTCAGGCAGCTGATAGAGCTAAGTCATTCTTTTTAATGGCTGTGCATTTTGTGATATGGATGTTACATAATTTATTCATCAATTTCCCTCTTGATTGATATCTACTGTTTTCAGTCCTTTGCCATAATGAGCCACACTACTTTAAGCATTTTGGTTTAAGCCTATTTACTATTGCTTAAATTGCTATAAGACAGTTGCAAGTGAGATTGTTTGATTAGATTGCCAGTTTAATATATATCTGTGTGTTCTTATTGAAGTTCACTTTCTCTTGTGCCTGTGTGTCTGTGTATACATATACATATATATAACCACACATATCCTACGTTTGTACTTCAGAATGTCACAGGCTGCACCCACTCAAGAACCAGAGCATTACAAACACCCCCAGCGGCCCATCTTGGGCTACCTTTGGGTTACTCCTCTGAACTCCCAAGAGCAATGTGTGTATTTTTAAAAGACTTACTTATTTGAGAGACAGAGAGTAAAACATAGTCAGAGGTCTCCCATCTGCTAGTCCTCACCCCCAATGTTTGCAACAACCAGAGCAGTTGAAACCAGGAGTTGGGAACTCAAACCAGGTCTCCCAAATAGTTGGCAGGGAGTCAGTTACTTGAGCCATCACTCTTGCCTCCAGGGCCTGCATTAGCAAGAAGCTAGAATCAGGAACTGGAGCTGGTGTCAAATCCAGGCACTCTGAGTGGGATGCAGATGTTCTAACTGTTGGCCTAACTACTAGGCAAAATGTCTGCCCCGATGGGTGCATTTTTGATTTTAGTAAGTGTTGACACTTTGTTTCTCACAAAAGTCACAGCTATTCACGTTTTACCAGCACTGCGTGAGACTGTCTTCCTCACTCCATCTCACTATACTTACAGTTGTGTTGCTTGCTCACAAAAATACATTCTGGGAAATGCACTGTTGGCGATTTTGTCATTGTGTGCACATCACAGAGTATATAAACTAAGACAACTGTGACATCACTAGGCAGTATTATCTTGTGGGACCAGGTCGTGTATGTGGTTTGTCCTTAACCAAGATGCAACTTTGATTTCCCTGACTTCTAGTGATTTGAGCTTTATGCTGTATTTATTTGCTGTTTGGATTTGGTATTTTGTGTGTTGCCTCTTCTTATCCCTTGTTCATTTTTCTATTGATTTGTTTTTCTTGGCAAGGTGTAAGAACATATTGTATAATACAGATTTTGACCCTTTGTTGTTTTTGTTCCAAGTAGTTTCCCAGTGTGTTTTCTTTATTGAATGAACCAGCCCTATTTATTCATGTCATTTTTCCCAAATTGAAATACTGTCCTTATTGTATAGTAAGTTCTCAAGAGTCCTGGCATTAGTTTCTGGACTGTTCTAAGGTTTTTGTTTGTTTGTTTGTTTGTCTTCCTATTCAGATACCATGTTGACTTGATTTCAGTGGCTTTATGTTATGTTCTGATAATATAGCGAGGCAAATTTTTAAGTTAAATTTCTTGTCTATCTTCATATATTTAGTACTTCACATATACTTTGAAAATGTTTTGTTTATTGAAAGGCCCCAGTGGTAGGTCTGTAAGTGGCATCGCATTCGATTTTATGTTTCGAAGAGAGGCCACGGGGCTGGTGTTGGGCGAGCAGGGTGACCTGTTGCCTGTGGTGCCAGTGTCCCAAAGGAGCTCTGGCTCAAGTCCTGGCTGCTCCACTTCTGATCTAGGTCACTGCCGAGATGCCTGGGACAGCAGTGAAAGATGTCCCAAGTACTTGGGTCCCTGCCACCTATGTGAAAGACCCACATGGAATTCCAAGCCCCTGGCTTTGCCCTGGCCCAGCCCTGACCATTGTGGCCGTTTGGGGAATGAACCAGAGAATGGAAGATCTCTCTGCCTTTCAAATTTTTTTTTAAAAAGTATATTTGGAAAAATTAAATATTTTTATTTAAAACAATATTTAATTTATTTATTTTCATTTAGATAGATATTCCACCCACTCCCAAAATGTCTGCAACAGTCAAGGGTGGGCCATGCTGAAGCCAGGAGCCTAGAACTCAACCCTGGTCTCCCTTAGGAGTGGCAGGGACTTAGGTACTTGAGCCATCACCTGCTACCTCCGAGGGTGTGCATTAGCAGTAAGCTGGAACTGGAAGCAGGGCTGGATTTCAACCCGGGTGGTCTGATATTGGACACAGTGTTCCAGGTGGGATTCTGACAACTGTGCCAGCGCAGGCCCCCAGAAGTAAACATTTCTGATACATGTCCTAATGCTTTATCTTTCCACTTGTACAGCTCTTGTTTTATTCCATTTAATAAGATTTTTAAGTTTTCATCTTTGGGATCTTTGTGCTTTTTTTGTGAAATTTATGCCCCCAAATAACTTTTTTTTCTATTGTAAATGTAGTATTTTCTCCTATTTTTATTTCTTTTTTAATTTAATTTTTACTTTTTTAGATTTATTTATTTATTTGAAAGTCAGAGTTACACAACGAGAGACGGAGAGGCAGAGAGAGGTCTTTCATCTGTTGGTTCACTTCCCAGTTGGCTGCAATGGCCAGAATCTCTCATTGTTCCATTGCAATATTATCCATTTTAAGGATTTACTCAGACTTTTAATACTTAACAAGATTTCTGTAAAAATGTTGACTTTGCGTTTTCAGAATCAAGTGTTCAAATGTAAATGCCAAGTAATGATTTTTAATAAACATAGATTTGCCTCCAGTTAATTTGAAGGTACTTTATGTAAATGTTGCAATGTAATATGCATTTTAGACGTGAATTTTAGGTAAGTCAGTAGTGAATAAATACCCTGAATATAGAGGCTATTTTCAGTGTTTAGCTGATTGTATGATTTATATTTCAATGTTCCTTTGATGCATCATGTTTCTTTCTTGTTTTTAAAAGCTGTAGAAGCGATAAACAAATCCAGTGTTAAGTGTTCAGTACTACCTGAAGATGGAAAGAATCAATCACTGGAAAAAAAGGTAAATCATTACAAATGTGCTTAATTCTTTCTTATTTGAACGTCAGAGTTACACAGAGAGAGGAGAGGCAGAGAGAAAGAGAAAGAGAGAGAGAGAGAGAGGTCTTCCATCCAATGGTTCACTCCTCAATTGGCCACAACTGCCGGAGCTGTGCTGATCCGAAGCCAGGAGCCAGGAGCTTCTTCCAGGTCTCCCATGCGGGTGCAGAGGCCCAAGGACTTGGGCCATCTTCTGCTTTGCCAGGCCATAGCAGAGAGCTGGATCGAAAGTGGAGCAGCTAGGACTAGAACTGGCGCTCATATGTGATGCTGGTGCTTCAGGCCAGGGTGTTAACCCACTGTGCCACAGCGCCGGCCCCGTAAATGTGCTTAATTCTAAACGGATAATCTTCATTTGTCCAAAGAATACTTACTAAGTGTTCTATTATTTTATTTTTTTTTAAGATTTATTTTTTATTTATTTGAAAGAGAGTTATAGAGAGTGGTAGAGACAGAGAGAGAGTCTTCATCCGCTGGTTCACTCCCCAGATGGCTGCAATGGCCAGAGCTGTGCTGATCCGAAGGCAGGAGCCAGGAGCCTCTCCCTATGGCCCCCACGCAGGAGCAGGGGCCCAAGCACCAGGCCATCTTCTGCTTTCCCAGGCCATAGCAGAGAGCTGGATCGGAAGAGGAGCAGCTGGGACTAGAACCGGTGCCCACATGGGATGCTGGTGCTTTGGGCCAAGGCATTAACCTGCTGTGCCACAGCAATTTTTTTTTAGATGGGGTTCTTGCACGCTAAGAGCTTATAGTTTGATCTGGATAGTGGGTAGGGGAAGACAGAGGTACAGGTTTCTGCATGGGGACATACGAGGGCTGTCCAGCAGGTTTTGTGCTGTTTCATCTTGCTTTTCTGGGTGGTGGGGAGAGGAGTCTGGGACGTCTTTGTGAGGCATGGAGATTGTTATCTGAGTTGAGATCTAATGAATGATTATGAGTCAGGCAACCTAAAGGTCCCCACCTTTCGGTTAAGAAAATGTTTCAGGTTAAGGGAAGAAAGCTTAGATCTTTGGGGTGGTGGCAATAAATAGAAGTGCAGAAAGATAGGTGTGTACAATTCACCGTGGGTGAGTTCTATGGTTTGGACTAGGGAGGAGAGGTAAGCGGTCACATTACTAAAGACTGTGTGTGTGAAACAGTGGTGAAGGTAGATGGTGGTTAAGAGAACAAACTCTAGCAAACCAGCTGTGTTGCAGTCCCACCCTACTGAACTTACACCTGAACTCCCTGTAGTGCAGTGTGGTAACAAGAGGACCTGTGTGTTGTTATGTACCCTGGGAGGGAGGGAGAGTTGTGCTCCACGGAGCAGACACCATTCTCTTCAGTCCTCTGTAAGCAAAGAGAAGTTGTCTCTTCATGGTACACAAGTTTGCCCCTTGGATTTCTTTTTTTTTTTTTTTTAATTTTTATTTTTATTTTTTTTTTTTTGACAGGCAGAGTGGACAGTGAGAGAGAGAGAGACAGAGAGAGAAAGGTCTTCCCTTGCCGTTGGTTCACCCTCCAATGGCCGCCGCTGCAGCCGGTGCACCGCGCTGATCCGATGGCAGGAGCCAGGATCCAGGTGCTTTTCCTGGTCTCCCATGGGGTGCAGGGCCCAAGCACCTGGGCCATCCTCCACTGCACTCCCTGGCCATAGCAGAGAGCTGGCCTGGAAGAGGGGCAACCGGGACAGAATCCGGCACCCCGACCGGGACTAGAACCCGGTGTGCCGGCGCCGCAAGGTGGAGGATTAGCCTATTGAGCCACGCCGCCGGCCGCCCCTTGGATTTCTAAGGCAGAGGGCTTAAACGTTTTTATTCCCTTTCTTGCAAAAGAATTTTGAAAAGCCATTTACCTCGTAACATAGTTTAAAGTTGAAATTTAAAATATTCATCCCAAATTTAAAAACTCTTATACCACCATTTAAAATATATCCACTACAGTTAAATACTGAACTCTGGCGATTTGATGTTCATTCCTTTTAAAAATAACTTAGCGAGGCCGGCGCCGCGGCTCGGTAGGCTAATCCTCCGCCTTGCGGCGCCGGCACAGCAGGTTCTAGTCCCGGTCGGGGCACCGGATTCTGTCCCAGTTGCCCCTCTTCCAGGCCAGCTCTCTGCTGTGGCCAGGGAGTGCAGTGGAGGATGGCCCAAGTGCTTGGGCCCTGCACCTGCATGGGAGACCAGGAGAAGCACCTGGCTCCTGGCTTCAGATCAGCGCGATGCGCCGGCCGTGGTGGCCATTGGAGGGTGAACCAACGGCAAAAGGAAGACCTTTCTCTCTGTCTCTCTCTCACTGTCCACTCTGCCTGTCAAAAAATAATAATAATAACTTAGCAAGATCTTCAACAGTTTGAAATTTTATATTTTTCTTTTGATCTTTGAATTCCTTTTCTTGTATATTTCTCTATACAATTTTTAATTAGTATAGTTTTATGCTAAACATTTCTTGAAAACTATATTACGTTCTTTAAAAAATCGTATTTTTCTGCAATAAAAATAAATATTAAATTTTCCATTCTATAGGACCAAATATTAAAGCATTTCCTTTAAAATTAATATTAACATACAATTTTTCAAAACAGCATGTATTATAACTTTGAGAATAAACATAGAAAATAATATATTATTGCAAGTGAATCATATAATGGAATGGGATACTTTTTCTCCCTTGGTTAGTTTGTGACCTAAGCTGTGTTTTTATTATTTATTATTTTTTAAAGATTTACCTATTTATGTGAAAGAGTTTACAGAGAGAGAGACAGGGAGAGAAAGAGATTGATCATTCATTTACCCAAATGGCCACAGTGGCCAGAGCTGGGCACGTTCAAAGCCAGGAGCAGGAGCTTCTTCCAGGTCTCCCACACAAGTACAGGGGCCCAAGGATTTGGGCCATCTTCCACTGCTTTCTCAGGCACATTAGCAGGGAGCTAGATTGGAAGTGGAGCAGCCGAGACTTGAACTGATATAATATATGGGATGTCAGCTGTGCAGGTAGTGGCTTAACTGGCTGCATCATTATGCCAGCCCCTTTATTTTTTATTTTTAAGATTTACTTATGTTATTTGAAAGGCAGGGTGACAGAGAGACAGAGAGGCAGAGAGAGACATCTTCCATCTGCTGGTTCACTCCCCAAATGCCCACAGCAGTGGGGCTGGGCCAGACAGGAACCTAAAAGTCTACCCTGGTCTCCTACATGGGTAGCAGGGACCCAAGTACTTGGGCCATTATCTGCACTAGCATTAGCAAGGAGCTGGATCAGAAGTGGAGCAGCTGAGACTGGCACTCCAACATGGGATGCCAGCGTTGCAGGCAGCCTGTGCCCTGGTGCTGGCCCCAGATATGCATGCCTACCTTGGTTGAGAAAAATCGCTAGAGGACACCGTGTATGTTCTTTTGAGAGTTTGGCCGGAGCAGGTGTGTGGTGCAACAGATTAAGCCCCTGCTTGCATTGGAGTGCCAGTTTGAGTCCTGACTACTCCACTTCCAATCCAGCTCCCTGCTAATGCACCTGGGAAAGCAGCGGAAGATGACCTGAGTACTTGGGTCACTGCCGTCTGTGTGGGAGACCTGGATGGTGTTCCGGGTCCTGGCTTCTGCCTGGCTCAGGCCTGGCTGTTGTAGCCCGTGGATGGAAGATCTTTTTGTCTCTCCCTCTCTCTGAAACTCTGCCTTTCAAATAAATAAAACATAAATCTTGAAAGAAAAAAAAGTTTGGTCATAGTGATATAAATCTTATATTCCCTACATTACCTTATATAAATTTGGTTTATAATCTATCTTTTGGGTCCATATTAAAATGAAGTATTTTCTACTTTTCTGTAGAATGTTCTGTCTTTGACAAGTCAGACTTCAGGAAGTTCCAGCAAGCTCTCTTCTCAGTCCTGCAGTACCTGGCCCACAGATTGGCTGTCTGCTGACCAGAAACCGAAGAACAGCCACTCACTGGCTCGTTCTAGTTGTTCAGTTCCACAGTGGACTCCAGAGGAAATGGAGTGTACAAGAAAGCATTTCCTCACGGACAGTGTGAAGCAGGGAAGTAAAGAAAGCATGACTCTTAAAAGGAAACACAGTGCACACGGTAATTCACCCGAGAGAGCAGGCACACGGACGGCACCGGACGAGGCTGAAGCCCACCTAAATTCTGGGAACTCAAGAGCAGTCAAGGAACATCTTTGTGACATTAGGTATTTGGATGATTTGACAAAAAACCAGCTGATTGAAATGCTCAATCGGGCAGCAGCTCTGGTGGTCACTCTGATGTATAAGGATGGTTCAACCCAGCTAAGTGCTGACCAGGTCGGTAAACTACTGGTTTTTGTTTGTTGTCTGGCACTATAAAAGAAGTGCATTGTCCTAGCATCTGACTTTTTTTTTTTTTTTAAGATTTATTTATTTACTTCAGAGGCAGTATTACAGACAGAGAGAGGGAGAGACAGAGAGAAAGGTCTTCTATCTGCTGGTTCACTCCCTAAAAGGCCAAAACAGCCAGAGCTAGACCAATCTGAAGCCAGGAGCCAGGAGCTTCTTCCAGGTCTCCCACACAGGTGCAGGGGCCCAAGGACTTGGGCCATCTTCTACTGTTTTCCCAGGCCACAGCAGATAATTGGATGGGAAGTGGAGCAGCCAGTTCTTGAACCAGTGCCTATAGGGGATGCCGGCACTGCAGGCTGATGCTGACCCTACTATGCCACAGCACCAGCCCCACATCTGATTTTTAAAAAATTATTGATTTGAGAAGTGTATGTGTGTTGGGGGGGGCTGGGGTTGGAGTTGGAGACCACCCATCTGCTGGCTTGTTCTCCAGTTTCCCACAATGATTATGGTATATCTTTGTTATTTATTAAATCTGATTTCTTTCATCAGCATTTTATAATTTTCAGCACACAGGGCTGTATGTGTCTTGTTGATTTATATCTAAGTATCATTTTTTGCAATTATGAATGATAGTTTTAAAAAATGTTAGCTTTCACATGTTTATTGTAGAATATACTTGCAGAAATACATTTGATTTTTAATTTTTGTATTTAAAGATTATTTATTTGAAAGGCAGAGTTACATAGAGGCAGAGAGAGAGGTCTTCCATCCACTGGTTCATTCCTCAAATGGCCACAATGGCTGGAGCTGTGCCAATCCAGAGGCAGGAGCCAGGAACTTCCTCTGGGTCTCCCACATGGGTACAGAGGCCCAAGGACCTGGGACATCTTCTACTGCTTTCCTAGGCCATAGCAGAGAGCTGGATCTGAAGAAGAGCCACTGGGTCTTGAACCAGCGTCCATATGGGATGCTGACACTGCTGCAGGCTGAGGCTTTATCCGCTGTGCCACAGCACCAGCCCCAATTTTTGTATTTTGATCTTGTATTCTGCAACCTTGCTAAATCACACATTAGTTCCAGGACTCTTTTTTTTTTTTTTTTTTAAGATTCCTTTAGCTGCTTTATGCAGATATTCATGTTATCTGTAAATAGGGACAGTGTAATGCTTCCTTTCTGATTTATATGCCTTGTATCTCTTTTTCCTGTATTGGGCTGGCTGAGACTTGCTTTGTGATGTTGGATATGTTAGAGGCCAGATGTAGAGTTAGATCATGGGGTTTGGTTTTTATGCTTGACAGTCATTAAAAGGCTGTCCATTTCCAAGTTTATTTTTAGGCCTCTTCTATTTCTGTCCACTTCATTAGGAAGTGTGACATCTTTCTTGAATAGATGTATTGTCTCTGTTCCATTTTGAAACTTATTGTCTATTTACAGGCTGTCATTTCGTCTGTCAAAGGAATTGTGGTGCTACTGAATTGCCAGGTGGAGGGCGGCAGTGCTGCTCCGGCTGCTGCAGCCAGGGGGAGTATTCTGGATGAGGATCAGTGCATCTACATACAAACAGAGCACTCTTGTCTTGCCAGCCAAGAACAGGAGGCACACAATCAATTTGCCAGGTAAGAAATCTCCACTCATTATCTGAAGTCCTACTTACATGCTTGCTTTACCCTCCCAAGTCCCCCAAACTCCAGTATTCATAATGTAAATGTTTAAAAGTTTGGTGTGCAAATGGAATGGCTCTAAATGTTAGAAACCTCTGCAAACACTGAGCCACTCTTCTCCAAAGAGCTTCTGGAATGGAGGTTGCATTCTTCCTTGGAAACCTGCTCCAGGATTGGAGTCAGCTTCATGGTGAGAAGCTGGGGAGAGGACACCATCCCAGGCCCTGCCGTGGCCCGGATCTCAGCTGTTTTTCCCCACCACACTCATTCACTCACTCACAGCATTAGAAAATTAAGTTATTGTTGCAGGAACACAGTAAATTATCCTCCATACCGCAGAGGTCAGCACTAATTTCAAAGCTCCATGTCTGCAACTAGAACCTGTCTCACCTGACCCTGCCCTCCTAGAATCAGGACTGGGTCGCAGGCAGGGATGTTCCTGTTGCCCAGACCCTTTATCAGCTCCTGCTCATGTCTCAGACCAAGTGGGACGTGCTACGATGGCCTTTGAGGCCTGCCTCCTTACAGTTCCTGACCCTGTGGAGCTACCTCAGCTCAAGGCCTTGTTCTGTCCACTCCCTACAACAAACAAACCAGAAGTGAATTGTGAAACATGAAAGTACAGAGCAGTAGTCACATCCTCCTAGACCAACATGATCAAAGATTTTTTTCTTTTTTGACAGGCAGAGTGGACAGTGAGAGAGAGAGAGAAAGAGAAAAAGGTCTTCCTTTGCCGTTGGTTCACCCTCCAATGGCCGCCATGGCCGGCGTGCTGTGGCCAGCGCACCGCGCTGATCCAATGGCAGGAGCCAGGTACTTATCCTGGTCTCCCATGGGGTGCAGGGCCCAAGGATTTGGGCCATCCTCCACTGCACTCCCGGGCCACAGCAGAGAGCTGGCCTGGAAGAGGGGCAACCAGGACAGAATCCGGCGCCCCGACCGGGACTAGAACCCGGTGTGCCGGCGCTGCAAGGTGGAGGATTAGCCTAGTGAGCCGCGGCGCCGGCCCAAAGATTTTTTCATACTTCATCTCCCTCTCTATGAGGCGGAGGAGGGAGCTGGAATTTAAAGAAAACCCCATACATGTAAATCACCTTGTACGTCTCAAGACACAGCTCCTTTGTTTTTGTTGTTAGAACTACAATTCCATTTCAAACGTAAATTGAACACTCAGTCCACATTTGAAGTTACTTGACTGTCTCAGAAATGTCCTTCCATCACTGTCTTAGTGGGATCAGGAACCCACCAAGGCCCACACGTAGCCTTTGGTGTCATGCCTCTTCTAATCTGAACACCTCCACCCCATCTTGCAGAGGTGCCATGTCCTGAGTTTATCTGTTGGTGTCCCTGTGTGGTTCTTTAGCTTGTTCTCTTGTACTCCATAGTGACTGTAAACTGGAATTCAGTTTTAAAGCCTTGGTTATTCAGGTCCAACATTTTTTGCAAAACACCTCCATGCTCCAACCGTGATGCAGCTCAATGACCAGACTTAGCAAATAAAAATACAGGACACTAAATGTGAATTTCAATTACACAACAACTAATATATTAGTATAATTGTGTCCCAAATGTTCATGGGACATGCTTATCCTGAAAGAATGAATATATGACTGAAAATATTTAAATTTTTTTCAGATAAAAATTATTGACTTTTTCTAAAGTTCACACTTACCAGGGTGTCCTGTGTGTCTTATATGATTACCTTTTTTTTTTTTTTTTAAAGATTTATTTATTTGAAAGAGTTAGAGAGGTGGAGACAGAGAGAGAGGCCTCCCATCCACTGGTTCACTCCCCAGATGGTTGCAACGGCCGGAGCTGGGCTGATCCGAAGCCAGGAGCCAGGAGCTTCTTCTGGGTCTCCCACATGGGTACAGAGGCCCAGGGACTTGGGCCATCTTCCACCGCTTTCCCGGGCCATAGCAGAGAGCTGGACTGGAAGAGAAGCAGCCAGGACTAGAACCGGTGCCCATATGGGATGCCGGTGCTTCAAGCCAGGGCATTAACCCACTGCACCACAGCACGCCAGCCCCATCTGGGTCAGGTGATATCAGCAGGATACCTTCATTGTAAATTTCCCCACTAAACTTTCCCTTTGTAGTTTTGTCCTTGGATAAGTATCATCTGAATTACTTATTTGATAATGGCTAGTGACTTGGTGATTTTTTTTTTAAAGAAAGAATTATATATAGAGAGAGAGAGAGACAGGAAGAGTGAGAAGTCTTCCATCCACTGGTTCACTCCCTAAATAGCTGCAACAGCCGGGGGGTGGGGGGTCGGGGGGCGGGGGGCGGGGCAGGCCGAAGCCAGGAGCCAGGAGCTTCTTCCCGGTCTCTCGCGTGGGTCAAGGGCCCTAAAGCTTTCCCAGGCGCATCAGCAGGGAGCTAGATTAGAAGTAGAACAGCTAGGCTGGTGCCGCGGCTCACTTGGCTAATCCTCCGCCTGCGGCGCCGGCACCCCAGATTCTAGTGCCGGTTGGGGCGCTGGATTCTGTCGCGGTTGCTCCTCTCCCAGTCCAGCTCTCTGCTATGGCCCAGGAGGGCAGTGGAGGATGGCCCAAGGGCTTGGGCCCTGCACCTGCATGGGAGACCAGGAGGAAGCACCTGGCTTCTGGCTTCGGATCAGCTCAGTGTGCCGGCCGTGGTGGCCATTTGTGGGGTGAACCAATGGAAGGAAGACCTTTCTCTCTGTCTCTCTCTCTCACTGTCTAACTCTAACTGTGCCTGTCAAAAAAATAAATAAATAAATAAATAAATAAATCGAAGAAGAAGAAGAAGTAGTAGTAGTAGTAGTAGTAGTAGTAGTAGTAGAAGAACAGCTGGGACTTGAACCAGCACCCACATGGCATGCTGGCTTTGCAGGCAGCAGCTTTAGCCACTACACCAAACACTGGCACTGAGATGGTGCTCTTTTTAACTCTACTTTCTTCCAAATTTATTGGCTAAAACTTTCTGTAAAGAACAACTAGACTTTTAGTTCACCTTACCCTTCATATCTTTACTTGAGTGTTACCTTTTGGCCAGGCCTGCCCTGACTGTCCTTCATAAAACAGTGCCCCCCCCACCCCCCCAAAGAGCACACACAGCCCCTGTTTCCTTCTCCTTCATTTTTTAAAAAAACTATTTGAAAGGCAGAGGGACAGAAACAGATTTTCTACCTGATGGTTCATTCCCCAAATAGCCACCGTGGCCAGGGCTGAGCCAGACCTAACCAGGAGCCTAGAACGTCATCTAGGTTTCCCATGGGGTTACAGGGGCCCACACACTTGGGCCGTCATCTACCGCTTCCCCAAGCACATTAGCAGGGAACTGGGCAACAGGAACTCTAACTAGTGTTGCAGGCGTGGATTAACCCACTGTGCCACATGTTCTTCATGTATTCCTGTAATACCTAACCATAATACTGTTACCGGTGAATGGCAGGGTTCTTGTCTTCACTCAAGAAAGAATTCAGGCGTGAGACAGAGAGTAATGGAAAAGTAAAATAGCAAGGTTTATTAGGGCAGGGACATCTGTAAGAACAGATGGACACCTCTCCAGACAGGACCTGAGAGAGAGTGCACAATTGCTCGGACTGGGGGGAGAGCGAGGTTACATGGTTGAGTGGAGGGATTCTACCTGGGCAGGCAGGCGGGCGGCTCAGCAGAGAGGCAGAGGGCTGAGCGCGCAGTCCGGTTGAGGCCGGGGATTTTTAAGGAGATGGGTCTTTGTCTTCACACATCTCCTCCTGAAACAAAGGAGTTTATGGCTGTAAATATTAAGAATTTCCTATCTGAGGTTTCCCTTGAAGGTATCAGACAGGAGGAAGCCTAGCTGGCGCCATCCTGGGTTCAGAGGAAGGGTGAGCAGGACCCCCTAAAGAATGGGGATCCGGAGCAGGGTGTTTGAGATGCAGATACTGGGCTGCACCTGGGAGATTGTGGAAGATTGTCAGAGGGGGCGGGGGGGGGGTGTCCCATCTGGCAGGTGGTTATCTGGTAGAAGGGGGCAGGGCAGGATACCCGGATGCCCCTGAAATCTTACCAGGACGACTTTGAGATGCAGATGCAGTGCTGGACATGGACGTCCTCTCTGTAGGCCTTTATGTCACACACACATACGCTCATAACTGACTTCCTGCCTAACAGTATCATTCTGTGTATATGACTTACTTATTTTGTTTACTCTGTGTCTACCTCGAAACTCTCTGAGAATGACACTTTTTGCGTTCTGTTTATGTTTGTATCCCCGCAGCCCAAAACGGTGCCACAGAGCAGGGGCTCAGTTAGCATTTCCGCACATTCTTACTGAATGAACGCGGGTTGAGGCTTCGCTCAGAGTGCCTACGTGAAGATGCTGCCTTGAGTAGCATAAAGCTGGAAGTCGTGGTCCTGAGTCTGTGCTCGTATCTTTGATGTTCACGATGAAGTTGAATGAATCTCGCTGAAGTTAACGCCCTCGTAGGTGATGTTTGTACAGAATGTTAGGTGATGTTTGTTGCCTGTGCAGGGTCTTTTTGCACAGATGATCTCACTTCATCTTCGTGCTATTTCCCTGTGTTAGATCTTGTTAACCCCATTTTGTAGATGAGGAGACTGAGGCTCTGAGAAATAATTGAAGTTATAGATCAGTCCTAAGATTTCAGCTAAAGTCTCTTATTTTTAACTCAAGTCTAACTTTTTGTACTATAGCTTCCTTTTTGTTTTGCAAATGTGACAAATAGACTTAATAACCAACTTATGTTTTAGCCATTTAAATAACCAACTTATGTTTTAGCCATTAAGTATTTATTTATTGATCTATCTGAAAGGCTGAGAGACAGTGTGTGAGTGAGTTGTCTCAGTTGATTCGATCCTGAAAATGCCTGCAGCAGCCATGGCTGAGTCAGGGTCAAGCCAGGAGCTGGAACTCAGTTCATGTCCCACATGGGCAGCAGAGACCCAGGTACTTGAGCCATCACCTCCTGCCTCCCAGGGTGCA